ACACACACACACACACACACACACACACACACACACACACACACACACACACACACACCTCACAAATCTGCAGTGACTTTGATGTTATATGAAAAGACTTTGGTTTCAAATAGGATGGTACACATTTCATTGGCTAGGATCATCACCACCAATCGAATACGCATTTCTTTTTATAGAAAGCTATATAGGTGTTATATTTACTTTTACATATATACTAGAAATATCAATCAAAATCAATCAATCAAAACTTTATTTATATAGCACTTTACAAACAAATATTATATCAGGGCTTTCACCGGCGTCACGCCTYTTTCTTCTGGCCTTAATCTGCCAACAGGCCAGCATTTAAAAGGCATCAAACACTAGGTGGTGTGGAGCCAATGGTAAGACCCCCTTTTTAATAATTAAGGACTAAGTCCAAAGGAATAAAAAAGAGCCCCTTTTCATTGGGAATTAGGTGTCTTCCTGCTGTATTGTTGGCTCCAGACGTACTGTGGACAGCAGTATAAAGTGGACTTAAAGCAGCTGCTGCATCTCTTTGAGTCAGATTTAGTATCCGGGGCAATTACTCCTCTGGTGATAATTTAGATTTAGTAGTTCTGTGGTTGAGACTTCAAAACGCCACTGATCTATTAGTCTATCAGGAGCAGAGCAAATCAGAGTGAAGTTGAAAAGAAAATGACTTTTTGAAATTAAGAAGCTTGTAATTTACGTTTGACCCACAACTTATTTTTACAACAACCCAGAGCTTATATTCAGCTAGAAATAAAAAAGGACAAATATTTTTTTTATTTAGTATACCTATGATTAATGTTTCTATGTCCTTATAGAGAATATATTGAAGAAGGCATGTGACTTAAACCCATCTGTGCATTCATGCTGCTTCCTACTGTAAATTAATATTGCATGCACATATATACACATAGTGCATCCATTATTAATACTTTAATAACATTAGAAACTGAGAACAGTAGTTTCCATGGTGGTTCAATACAAAAACAGAGTGCTGTAGAAAAACACCGAACACAAAGAAAGAGGATACAAATAAACACAAAAAATCCGATGATTGGTGTCATATATGATATAATGGGCAATAAATAAGATACTGTAAATAAAATAAGCAAGAATGAAAAATTGGACTCTTGCAGTTTAGATAAAGGGATTCAGCTCTTCATTTCAAGGACTGCTAAYTAGAAAACTTTTAGCCTTAAATTCAAAAGTGTTTTTACAATGAAGTGACTGTAAATGCGTCAAGATTGTTCCATGGTAAGCTCCAGTATAACCAAAAGAGGACCGTATAAAAGATTTTATAAAAGGAATAACTAAAGGCAATGTGYTGTACTTGGTATTGTGGTGGGTTTTGAGGCAGTTAGATAGAAGGGGGCTTGGCCAAACAATATAATGTGTATATGATTGTTTCCATGTGCAAATAACTAGCAATGGTACTACAGCCCTGCTCTTTCTTTTTGGCATTATGTTGGCCAAAACATAAATCAGCAGAATGGGCTAATAAGTGATACTTCTATTTTAATAACTGCTATTACAGCCTTAGATAAAGTATTTTGTAATGGAAAAGAACATATTTGTTGATGATATATCTGACAAACCATATTTAACTGTAAAAACAGTTTTAGTGAAAGTTTATCACCMCTTATTGAATCCTCTTTCTTTTTCTCGTGACTTGATTCTTCTGCTGGAGTTTATTCAACATTATACATTCATGCACACAGCTTGGCGAGCCTCGGGAGATGGCTGTTGATGCAGGCTGCTTTCCAGTTGCTGGCCTTAGTCCACAAAAACTGTTAAAGGGATGTCCTTCACACTAAATTACTTTACCGCTGAAACTTCAAAGACTTTATCTTTAAATCTTTAAAGGGGAGCAGAGCTGATGATGTAGCTTATATAATCTGAACGTCACAAAAAAAAGTCATTCTCCTTCTAAAACACCTAATTAGTGGACCTGATTTGCTCCCACCGAGCGCGTCCAGGTGTGCCCAGTCYAGCCTCAGTATGCAGACGCACCTCTTCTCATCTACTGCCAGGGAGCTGAGTGTCAGCACGCGTCCCAGCACAACACAGAGCCCCTTGTTCCTTTTTCCTAACGCCCCACGATGCTGACACAAAGACAAGAATCCTTCTCGCATTCTTTTCAAACCCTCCCCGTCCCTCCTCCCRCGTCGTCCCACCTGCTGTCATCGCCAGCTTCTGTCAACGTCTAGATCGACTAGCACACTCTGTCTTTTAGCATCTCTTTTATCAGCTTACCTGTGCCACGTTTTTGCGCCCTTATATGTGCTCATACAAAAACACATGTGCATGCTGAGAGACAGTGGCATGAAAACAGATGTTTCTTTTTATTYAAAACAGCCAGAAGATGTTTTGATTTTTGTCTGGTTGGGCTTTTGAAGCACCTCAAAAAAATCCAGTCATACAGTCATTTTCAAGTATCAAACTAATTTTCACCAAGTGCCACATGAGCATTTTATTGGCCCTCAAAGGGCCAGTTGTAGTAAACTCTGACATTTCTTTGACATGTTTAACTTCAACTAAACAGAAAACATCTCGTTTCTTGTCTCACTGCAATGTCTGAACACCGCTAACAAACAATAACTGAGCTCCACGTGGTATTTCCTGCATAATAACAGCGTTTTAACCTGTCCTCTTAGAAACACTGAAAAGTACTACGTGTATGACTGACTAAATGTGTAAATACAGTAATACAGGAATACTATTAAAGTAAGCATAAGAGTTTTACTCACTGTTGAGTTTAGGGATGCACGATATACAGTATCGCCATTAATATCGGCATCAGTCGATGTTGGTCAGTTTTAGAATATCGTATCGGTCTGATATGTAAAACTGGGCCAATATTAACATCAGATATTGATTTCCCACGTTTTAGCTTTGTGTTTCTGTTTTGGGAGTGGAGATGGTTGGTTGAGCAGCATCTGTTWGATCACGATAGTGATATTGATGCTGTGTAYCCAGGAATAACTGACGCAGAGAGCCATGTCAGAGGTCTGGTCGTTTATTTACGGTATCAAAAAAAGACTCAAGTGTGTTTGTGCGTATATGTATAATACAATTRGTGTTTGTGTAGTATCGGTAAATACTGGTTATTGTCCATAACAGGAATAATTATATCGGATATCGATATCGGCTGAAATTTTCATATCGGTGCATCCCTAGTTGAGTTGTAGTAAGTCTTGAATTTTGAATCTCCAACAGGGAATTCCCATGCATAGTCCACCTGCATTATGGGAGTTTAGCAGCTTATTCTGAGACATTATCCATTATTGTAAATAACAAGTGGAATATAAGTAGATTATTAAAATGGTCCATAAATACAGGGTACACACACTTTCCAACATTTGCYCAGTAGTTTCACAGTTCCTGTTACATATTTTATTCATTTGCTGATGTAACTTAAACTGATGTTTTTGTCTTTATTGGCAAACACACTTGATGTCATCAAATGCATTTATTTCTTTGATTTCAAGCTGTTTCACTTTGTAGTTTTTGTGCATCTTTGTGGTCCAGGAGCAAACGATACGTGAGCTGGAGACGCGAGTGAGGCATCAGTCGGTGGAGGTGGAAAAGGGCAACTCACTGCGTCAGAGAGTCACTCAGGAAAAGGCTCAGTTGGAGATCCATGCTGCATCTCTCAGCGCTGAACTGCGAGAAGCTAACAGACGGTATGGACCTGTTTGACGTGTGAAATAAAGACGGATGGAAGAGATACAGTGYTGACAAAACAATGCAAGCCTTTTAAAAACTGCTCACTAAGCACCAWTTGGCTTTATTATTACTGTACATTTATAGCAAAGACACAGATATGAAGTTGGAATCAACCTGTTAAATGTGTGCAGGATGATGCTGCTGCAGAAGGAGAAGGAGCAGCAGAGTGAGCAACATGAGCAGACTTTACAGAAGATTCAAGCCAAACATGAAGCTGATATTAGTCACTTACACCAGGAGCATTCTCTGTCTGCTGCTAAGGTTCATATCAACACCACAGCTCCACACAGCTCTTCTCCAGAATTATTGCTGATTCAACATAAACATTTTTTACATCCTCTATCTCCTGCAGAGCTCTGAGGTGGTAGAAGACTTGGAGAAGACCTTGGCTCAGATCAAACAGCAGCTTCAGGACAGTGAGCATCGAAGACACCAACAAGTCAGGGTGTGGTTTTGTTGAAACTGTTTGGTTGTTTTGTTAACATATTTTAGTCACACTTTGTAGTGTCTGCGTTGCACTTATTAATTCTCTGCTATCTTTCAGGATCAAGAGATGAAGTTTCAGCAGGAGAAAGATGAACTGCAGATCAGCTGTGAGAAAAAGGTAAGGTGTATTATAATACAAACATTCAAACATGCGGCAAAATTAAATGAACTTTAATAGTATCTGGGAAACAAAAGAACYAAAAGTGTTTTTTTAATTGTCCCTTTCATGTAACAAGGCTAATATCTAATTRCCCATGCACTTTACTTTTGAAAAACTCATTAAAGTCAAAGAGCAGCTATAAAGTGCTGAACTCAGAGGTCATTGTTAATTAATCTGAGTCGGACCAGACCAGTCTAAGCCAGGTTTTTAGAGGGATAAAGATCAGGTTTAAAGGCTGCGCTGCACCTGGGTCATCTTCAAAGTACCATATTGGTGGCAGGCTAGCATCTGCAGGCCCTTTTACCTGAGACACCTGCAAGAACTTAGCAGGCATATGTGCTCTTTATTCAGGTTCAGGGAGACTTTCAATTAAGCCTCTCTCAGGAGTTCTGGTTTTGATGTCTGCTTCTTATTCTTTTCTTGTAATCAGCCGGTATTTTTTCTTAACTTTTTCCTTTCTCCTGTTTCTTCTCGCAAGGTGACAGGAAGCAAGCYATACAAGAAAGGCTGTTGTTTATTTTATTCATTTGCTCTGGAAAGATTTCTGTTTCCAGTCTAAGCGAGACACATTAGGGAGACCTTGGTTTTGTATTAAAAGCAGGAGAATGGCACATAAGGCTGCCGTAGATCCACAGAGAGGACCCTCAGGCACTCCGGTGATACTTTTGATGGGGTAATAGAGAGAAGAGACCATATGCAGAAGGTCAAAACAGGCGGAGAGTTTTCTTGAGTGATGTTTGATGCTGTCGTGGTTTAACACTCTTTTTGCACCTCTATCTCTGCCCCGCTTTCCCTCCGTCTGTCTTTCAGGTGTTGGCGGTCCACACTGAGGCCGAGAAGGAGAAAATAGAGGCGAAGAGGAAGATTGCTAAACTAGAAGATGCCCTAAGGTACAGAATAAACAGCAACAGATGGAGGTATTTGTTGCTTGAATTATTTAGTCTAGTATACATGCTAAATCTCAAAAGTTCATTTAATAAAGTCAAACACAATATTAGTTACAACATGGATAGTTCTGCTAGTGTTTACAAATCTGTTTATACTTCAGAATCCTACAGCTGAATCTTCTAGAAGAAAAAATAAATAAATAAAGGAAATAAAAAAATGGAAGTGACAGGTAAACCTCCAGCTAAGATGTGTGATTTAGACCAATTAGATCATAATTTAACTAAAAGGGGATTAGGTTTTGACAGATACTGTATATAAATAAACTTCATGTTTACTACCGCTGGACTAAAACATACCCTTTTGGTCCTAAATTTTATTTAAAGTCAGTGAAGCAAAAGAATCTTCTCAGTTACATTTTTTGCCTTCATTTTGTGAAAGCAGACTTTATTAGAGTGTTGTTTATATCCACTGACTTCACTCTTTGATCATGAGAACAGTGTGAATGAATCTTGATTTAAGGTGGAGTCTAGTTTTAACAACCTTTATAGTCTCTTTGATCTTTTTTTTTCTTTTTCAAAAGAACTTGCTAATGCTGAGAGCCTGGAAAGTCTTTGAAATCAGAACTTTTCTTTAAACAGATGTTTGATATGTAGTGAACACAATTAGAACATGTAATTGTGTTCTGTTTGTTATTTGAAACATCATTAAGTGAATAAGTTTATTGAGGCCATCTATCCTCGAAGGCCACTATTAAGCAGGTTTTAGATGTTTCTCTGATTTGGCACGCCTCCTTTGAATGAATGAGTGATTGACATGCTTCTGGAGAAGTTGATGACCTCACTAGAAACTCATCAGTGAGTAAAACTTTTTGTCTTTTACTTTTAATAATATTTCTGTATTTATGACAGATTTAGTCAGTCGTACACTTAGTTCTTATCAGTGTTTAAAAGAGGACCTGTTAAAACTCTGTTTAGTCAAAGTTAAACATGAAACATCAAAATTCATTATGGTGCGTTCACACCAAATGCGATTTCAGCATCAGGAGCAGCAAGTTTACATACAAAGTCTATGGTGGACGTGCTTCAAGCAACGTCGGAAAGTGCTGCGGCGCCTCAAGCGTGATTAGAGCAGCGCGATTTGAACGATCTGAGCGTTCGACGCGCTGAGGCGCAAATCGCTGAAGTTAGAAAATCTGAACTTTTGCAGCTCGTTGCGCCACGTCAACCAATCAGAGAGACTCCACTGTGTGACGTAGCGACATATTTCCCGACGGGACAGTTTACTGAATGATGTCCACTAACCTGAAACAGATGGAGAGGAGCTCTTTAGCTGAAATCGAGTGCCTGCAGTCGGTGTCCTGACAGAGATATCCACACCAATGCGTGGCAGCGGCTCATCAGACTGGACTCGGGACAAAAATAGTCCTGAAAGCGAGCTGTGAGCCTCTACTCTGAATTATCTGGTGAATTAATTATGAATTAATTATCTGATGAACGTGACATGCTCTTGCTCTCTGTAAATAAAGCAAAGCACTTCCTCGTCCGACATTAAACAGAGCCCGACAGAGGAGGGAGGGGCGGGGAGGCTCTTGCCGTGCAGCGCTTCAAGAGCTGACCTGCGTCTGACCTCAAAGTGCACAAGCTTCAAACTTCAGCGTTGGCTGCMATTTTGAAGCTYAAATRYCGTTCGGTGTGAACGCAGCATTACAAGTGGCCCTTCGAGGGCCACCATAACGCTTATGTGGCCTAAAACATACAAGATTGTGGCCCTTGAGGACCAGGACTGGACACTACTTATCTGGAGCCTCGGTGCTTTTAGTTTGTAGTAACAGAGTTAAACCTCTCCACTTTACAGTGAAGCAGAATGCTAAATACCAGGGCAAGCTAAACCATTTTACCTATACACAATGCAACAGCAACTCAATAACATTAATAATTGCATTTTTTGTCTTAACATTAATAATAAAATTCTGGGGGTACTGCAGGGGTTTATAAAATATCAAAATTTTTTCCAATACTTATTTTTTTAAAGTTATGTCTTTAAACACACATTTCCTTGAATCCAACATGTAGCTAATTGATAAAATGAGGCAGAAAAGTATTTATTTCAGTCAGTAATTCCATGGATTCTGCAAATATGTCTTATATACTTTATTGGCATTTTTAAAGTGACATTTGGGTAAGTGCAGCGCCACGTGGCCCTCTGGTAGTGTCAACAAAAAACTGCAGCCCCTTCTATCATTTAAGTTGCCCATCCTTGTTCTATAAACTACATTTAAAGGTGTTAGTGTGGGCACTGAATGTTATTAAATTAAGAGTTTAAATTTTTTTTCAAGCTTCATATTTACCTCTTTACCTCTAGAGCTGCTTCCTGTAAGCCCTCTTGCTTTTCACCCAGTGACAGTTGGTGGTAAACACCAGCTCCACACAAACATGTAAACAACAAACAAGCAGGTAAAGAAATAGATGGAAAAGCAGCTTGTATTTCCTTCACCAGACTGTTGGGCACAGTTGATCACAGCAGTCCAGACCACTAAACAGCCAAAGCACCACCCACCTTAAGATGTTTTTACCTGTTTGTGAGGAAGTACTAGGAAATCAGAGGATTGATTAAGACAGGTCTAAGTGGTTATTGGTAATTTAAGTGGCTTAAGAGCTGTTTCTTAATGCTCTTTTGTGGGAGGATATAGTTGTCTCACATTGTAGGACATGCTTATTATCACTGTTCCTCCGTGTTTCTGTCACTGTTCAATAACAGGAGGACTTATTTTAGAGGTTTTGGTTTAGCATTTGCCATAAATATCACAAGAGGACACTGACGGTCGTGCCTGCTTCTTGTCACTGTCAGCTGAGCACCAAAGAACGAGCTTAAACGCAGCAGACGGATCCGTCGGTGCTTAAATTATTTTCATTGTTAGCATCAGTAACGAGGCAGTCATTCCCTCGTTTAGTGTTAAACACTGAGAAACGGCAACTGGCCCCGCCGGGCTCTTTGCTAATTAAGTACTCAGACTTCACACACGCACACACACACACACAGTAAGTACTCTGATGTCTTCTACCTGCCTGCTGCCGTGGCAACACTGAAGGCCTTTAAAGGCGATCCAGAAGAACTTCAAAGTCAAAGCAAGACTGTTCTGCAGGTGTGTGTGTGTGTGTGTGTGTGTGTGTGTGTGTGTGTGTGTGTGTGTGTGTGTGTGTGTGTGTGT